ATGAGACATAGTCTCCTTAAACCCATTGTAGATTTTCTTTTGTAAAATATGAATGAAGGCATCTTGGATAAAATTTTCTTTTCAAGGACCCCAAATGAAAATAATATCATGCTTTGTAAGATCTTATAGATGAAGCTGATCTGTCTGTTTGACCTTTACTTACAATGTTGTATAGCAGGTATTAAGAGTTGACTGTTTTTTTGTTGAGTTTTACCTGGTTCTAGGTGTGACATGATATGATGAAAGCTGTTAAGGTTCCAGAATATCTTATCTTCATGAATTTTGTGAACAGGTGGGATTTCTGGGTCGTCAATGGCTAAAATCTGTTAAATATACAGTGTATAATAACATAACTTTTTTTGAAAATATATTATCCATACATTTGTACTGCAGCAATTTTATAGTCTCCTATCCTAAACTCTTGAAAATAAAAAAAACTTTTTTTGTTTGTTTGCTTGTTTGTTAGTTAGAAATTTGTTACAACAAATTTTAAAAAGTTACCCTGTTTCCACAAATAAAATATGAAACCCTAGAACAAGCATCTCGATCACTCAAACCCTACCCCTGCAATCCTAAGAGGTTCCCAGGGGCTGCGTCCATACTCATTGACAAGATTTTCTTGGCGTGGAAGGACACTTCTGTAAACATGAGATCTGAGATCAGCCAGAGCCACCTCAACACAGGGCTGACCATAGGTGGTGTCCTCCTGGAGCATGCGATGCCAGTAAAAATTATTATGCATGGCCATTAAATGTGTGGGATACTTCAGCTAAAATAAAATTAGAGTTTATGAAAGAGTACAGTATTTAGTGTGCTTCCATTGCTGGATTTCTATATAACATAAAGTCAGAAAATATTATTGTTCCAACAAAGAGTGACAGGCTGTACAAGCAATAGGTATTGTTGAATCAAAAAGTTATCTGTTTTCTGGCCTTACTAAGGTTATCTTTTCTGCTAGAAGTTTTGAAAAGTATCCTTTGTGTACCACCTCCTCAGGGCTTGCCTGTAGGCAGTAAAACAGTCTAGAATGTTCCACAGATCTGGCAAAGGCAAAATTGTGAGACTGTAAATGAAACAGGAGACATATTTAGGCTTTTAGAATATGTGTTACAAGTAAAAAAAATCCAATCCAGTGAATATTTTGTTCTTTTAAAAGTAACAATGACAAATAATAAATTGGATAGATATACCACTTTATCTTTGATAAGTGCCGTAAATGGCATTCTAAACAGATTACATATATATAAAATCATAGAGTCATCATAGGTTTATTCGAACCATGAAAGCTTGTTTTACCATTTCTCTGGATAACATTGGATGGTTTTCTATTGCTTTGTAGCGGTTAACCCATTCTGCAAAAGTTTCCACACTCTTTCTCCCCCTGAGGTCTAGCTGTTCGTTTAATCCATCAACAACATATTGAGAGGTGAAGTCATTGCCAGCAATAATACTCAGTTCTGTCATTAAATGGTGACTCTGAAACTATAAAATTAATGGTCTCCTTCTACCGGTAATTGTACAAACGTAACCTTCCATCATGTTACAGAAAGCAATGAAAATTCTAAGAGTCAGATTAAGACATACAAATCAATGCTAAAATTTCTACCAACCCCAAATGTATTCATGACTCTTTCAGTGGAGATTATGCCACACATAACTGACTCAGGTTTCACAGGAACTTCAATGGGAAGACCTAACTGTAGACTATTTAGGAAGTCAAACAGTTCATTAGGGATAAATCTGCAGTTCTTAAAAATACAAAAATCTGAATCATTGCTCCAAATCACAAAAGCTTTTTCACGTTCATGCAGAGCTTTTGCAATCATAAAATCCGCTTCCCCTGTAACACTCTGGATTAACTCGCATCCGCAAGATTTCAGTGTTTCAACAATCTGGATTTCTAAACACACGGGTCTGATAAACATCTGTTCTTCCAAGTCAAACATTTCTTTTGTTCCTCTACATACATTTATCACCTCATTTAAGTTACTGACTTCCCTATGATGTCTTTTCATCCAGGTGTCTAATTTGTGTTGTGTATTGGCATCAGAACATCCTTTAGTAGCGTCCAAGAAGAACACAAAAGAAATCTTTAACTGTCTGAAAATTTCAACAAATCTTCTAATGAAATTATCCATAGATCCATATTCTCCTCCCAGTATTCTTAAGTATTCATTGTTTCTGAGACTGCTTAAACCTTTCCAAAACTTTGGAAGAAGCATGTGTTCAAAAGAATAAAAGTCCACCAGGATTTCAATGCCGCCTCTACTTTTGGCCACAGCTACGAGGTCCACCTCCTCAGCACACTCATCCCTCCTCCTCAAACAATGACCTAACAAGCCTCGGATTCCCATCACTCAACTACAAATAAGAATGTCTTAATTTTTTTTTATTTAAAAAAATCAAACTAAACTAGAAGTACTGTGAGCACTGAGCTCACAAAATGATATCCCCCCCACCCACCCCCCCACCCTACTCCTATACGAGTACGTGTATAATGGCAAGGCCCATTTTTTGCTATGGGAAACCCAAAATATCTGTCTGATCAGAACATTAAAAATGAGATGCACAATGGCACTAATAATTATTCTGAGAAAGTCTCATTAAATTTTATTTGGTGCTAAAGGAGGAATAAGGGATGGTTACCCCCCAATGTTATAGAAAGAATTGCAGTGTCCAGGCTTTGCTATGAGAAACCCTAAATATCTAACTGATCAAAACAAAAAATAGGAAGTGCACTGAAACACATCAGCAATGGATACTTATAATATATAAAATATAACTTGTAAAATAAAAAACATCTGGGGCTTCAGAGACAGCTGTAGACATAACTGCAGACATAAATGTCAAGATGTGATGTAACATAATCAGGTCCAGCACAATACCCTGATAAAGGTATGTAGCTATATAGCTTTATCAAGGTATTAAAAATACCTTGATCAAGGTATTTTATGTAATGAAAATACAAAAAAAAATCTTAAAAAATTAAATTTAAAAGTCGAATTATGAGTTGTGGTCAGTGTATTCACTCGTGCATGAAAAGTACTCAGGTATCAAAAAGGCAGAATAAAAGAACGTCTCCTCACACGACATGCATTTTTATCGATTTCTTTGTGTTTGAGTACTTTACATGCATGAGTGAATTTACTGACAACAACTCAGAACTCGATGTCGTTGTTCATTTCGTTAGTGGATGTATTATGAATTCTGTTTTTGTATAAGAGGAAAACAAGCCTCTACTTCTGACATCTCTGCGTGCACAGGAGTCGGCAGTTTTATCCATAAAACAACGTAAACAACAACCAGTGAGCTTCGCTCGCGAAGCTCTCTGGTTGTTGTTTACGTTGTTTTATGGATAAAACTGCCGACTCCTGTGCTGCGTGATTGGATATCACTCACTGACTATCACTCACTGAAGCACATGAGAGAAACAAAAAAAATTTAGAAAATCAATGCCCGATCTACAGCATATGCAAGAAATAAAGAGTGGAAACATGATAATACCAGTTTTTGCGTTTCAGCAGCATATCTCTACTTTTGGTTTCACTTTTAGGCTGACATTAAGTCTTACTCAGTTTTACTCAATTCTGCATATTCTATTTTGATACTTTTTCCACTGGGATCACTGTTGGAAATCTTTCCATTAAATTTTTCTTAATTTCAGTAATATTAATTTTTCAAAACTAAATAATAAATACTCTATATATGGCATTTTGATCTTCATCAGGACTTTCCTATGTACTACTTGTATAAATCGCACGTTTAACTTCCTGTGAGAAGTAAACAATCGTGTTTCGCCACGTCGATTTACAGCGTTTTTTGTTTTTAAACAACAGATGGTTCCAAGAAAGTATAGATACACTTTTAAGAGGTAATGATATCTAATTTCAAGGTAATGTTGAACAATGGGTGAAAAGAAGATGTTGTTCTGAATTACGAACTGAGCACCTCCTTACACTTGCAAAACGAGATAGTGGCATATGGTTTATTTTGAAACCGTTGTTGATTTTGTATTCACTGACTGGAGTACAAGGATTTTAACGTTATTTTATTGATAACAGTTTAAATATAGTGCACATGTATGATATTTGGGTATAATTCTATAACTATTTTGTTTTGTTTGAGGTTTATCTTCTCATTTATGCTTAGAGTTTTAGGTGCAGATTCAAATCTCTGGTGTTTTGCATGTTCCATACCTGTTACATTTCATGCAGTATAAACCATCCTGGTTCAGAAAAGATCTGTCCTACTTGGGAAAGGGTTGCTGTCATCAGGATTCAGGAATAAAGACAATTAAGATGGGAGGAATTTGATAGAACGTTCTATCGTTAAAATGATATTGTCCTACGGACCCGGTTTAAAAATAGAATTTGTTCCGTGTATTGGCAATGTAGCAAAATAAACATGGGTGATAACTCGAACTCAGTGCATTTACTGTGATCAATCTGGAGAGTTCCAAGTGTCAACATAGCGTGTAAATTTGAAGCGAGAAAAAACATTGAGAAAATGAGTTGAATTTTCATCTTTGTATGGATTATTTTTTTTAGTTAAAAGGCATATACAATCTCAAAAACGTTTGTTATGATTAATTTGGTAGTTATTTTCAGTGCAACTCCTTTTGTATACTTCAAAATCATTTTGGAGTGGATCCACTCCGATTTGCTACATTGCAAGTATATGTGACGTATTCTAACTGTGGTGAGGGCTTGTCCCAAGACACGGTTAGATTATTCTAACTAGGGAGGAATGTGTTATTCAGAAAAATTCAGCATTTCAATTTACAGATGCACATGTGTTATTTATAGTTATACTGGTCAAGAGTACGGGTCTGCATATTCTCTTTACATTTTTTGTTGTTACAGAAATTGGAATTAATTAATTCATCTTTTCATTAAAAGTGACAGTGTATAGTGGGGATCATATCTCTTGAAATATGAAGAAATGCTTCTTTCAGATCAGGTTTCTATTATTTCAATTTTTAAGGATACTCTCTGCTTTTTTCAGGGATGAATAATGAAAAACCAATAGAATGAAGAATTTATGTTGAAGAATATCCTTGGAAATCTATCATCACTAGTCAAAATAACCAACATGACCTCAAGACGACCTCAGTCAGCCAGGCACTCTTATGTGGAAAGGGATATAGGGGAGGATTCATTTCCGCATGTTCCCATTTCATCTGGGGGAACGCAAGACAACCCAAGAGGTTTAGAAGGAGACTATGGCAATGTAGCTTTGCTACTGTTTTTATATGTACTTCAGGGTATACCTCTCGGAGTAGCAGGCAGTGTTCCTATGCTGCTGCAAAGCCGAGATGTTAGTTATAAAGAACAAGCTGTGTTCAGTTTTGTATTTTGGCCATTCAGCATTAAATTGATATGGGCACCACTTGTGGATTCAATGTATCTTCCATCTTTTGGAAGAAGGAAGAGTTGGCTGGTTCCAATTCAGTATCTGATTGGTGTATTCATGATGTTATTATCATATAAAGTAGACTCTTTGATAGGCAGCGAGAAAAGTGGTGGTGGAGTGAGTATATACATGCTTACAGCTATTTTCTTCATGCTGAATTTTCTGGCTGCCACTCAAGACATAGCAGTTGATGGCTGGGCCTTAACGATGCTATCTAAGTAAGTTATCAAGAGTTTTTCAGTGTTTTTTTTTTCACAATGTCAATAGGATCTGTTGTTCTTTACAAGCACATAATTTTAATATTGATTAAATGTTAGAATATTTGTGATAAAATGACAAAAATTACAGTTTTTGATTTTAAAATGAATTTACAATTAATATAAATTTTCTAGGAGAAATGTTGGCTGGGCAAGCACATGTAATACTGTTGGACAAACTGCAGGGTATTTTCTGGGAAACATTCTATTCTTAGCCTTGGAGTCAGCAGATTTTTGTAACAAGTACCTGAGAAGTGAACCTCAGGAAACTGGAGTTGTTACCCTTGCTGGTAAGCAAATAGTAACATAAGATGTTGCATCCGCTAGAAGTATTCATTGTCTAATTGATCATTTCTAATCAACTGCTTACTTTCAAAATTTGTAGGATTTATGTTCTTCTGGGGCATCGTTTTCTTTGTAACAACTACCCTGGTTATGATTATGAAACATGAAACTGATGACCCTGATGCGGACAGTGAACAAGGTATCATCGACACATACAAACAGCTGATCAAGGTCATTCGCTTACCTCCTATCATCTCTTATGCCATCATCCTTCTAACAGTCAAGGTATTTATAGTGAAACTTCAACTTTTGCAAACTCAATTGTTTCATGTAAATCTCACAATTTGAAGTCTGTTTATTTCATTCTTATTTTAAATATAAATGTTTAAAAATATGGTGTGAACATCATTTGATATAAGATAAGATATACGTGAAATATATTACTTTTTGAACAGATAGGATTTGCTGCTGCTGATTCACTAACAGGTCTGAAGTTGATTGAGGCTGGAATGAAAAAGGAGACGTTAGCTCTGTTTGCAGTTCCCATGATTCCTATTCAGATCATTCTACCACTGATCATCAGTAAATACACGGCCAGCAAAACTCCCATGGATGTGTTTCTGCGTGCAATGCCATTTAGGTAATGTCAACTTAGGATGTCTTTGAGTACAATTTGGCAAAAATATTTTTTTCCCCTTGATCTCTTGCATATATAAAGCATCCTAAAAAAACTTGCTTATAGCAAAGTGCCAAGCACAAACAAATTTTGATTCAGTATAAACATAATATCCATTAAATTCATAATTTTTTTTTAACCACAGAGAATAAAAACCACTTTGCTGTAACTCATTATAAGCGTGTTCATTGTTATTATATTTTACTGAGATTTGTTGGTCTTGTTATTGACAGATTACTCCTAGGACTGGTGTATGCTTTCATGGTGTGGATGGCATCCAGGGTACAGCCTAGTCCTGGAGTTTTCCCCATCTCATTTTATGTATTCATATTAATTGTTTATGCTGTACATCAGGTGAGTACTGTAAAATTTCTTTATATTACAAATTTTCTCACTGTTTTAACAGAATTTAATTTGTATTTCATCATACATGTGTCTCAAGTTTTGTATCTGTATATGTTTTTTTTTTCAAATGCAAATGATATATATTTATTACAGGTGACATTGTATAGCATGTTTGTATCGGGCATGGCTTTTCATGCTAAAATCAGTGACCCTGCCATAGGAGGCACATACATGACACTGCTCAACACCCTATCCAATCTAGGTAAAATATGCACTGAATTTTGGAGCATCAATAGTTTCTTATGTGCATTATACATGTATTATCATTTTAAGAGTCATATTTATTTTATATAAAATATATATGTTCTAATGGGTCAAAGTTATTCATCAAAGCTAATATTTAATAACTATTGAAAATAAATCTTTTCTTAATGCCTTCTTGCAAATATTAAAGAATGAGGAGAACAAATATCAAGGACATGTATTTGTTGTTTTAACATTTAGTTACTTTTTTAGGTGGTAACTGGCCTAGTACAATGGCACTGTGGTTAGTGGATGGCTTGACATGGAAGAGTTGTATTGGAGCAATGGGGAGTTGTGAGAAATCAGCACCACTAGAAGAGGTGAGCCAGAAACAATTAACTGTTACAACAAATGTGACTACATTTTTTGGCAACAATCACTAGTACATGTACAATGTACATGTATGTTGTTTGGTGACGATTTGATAAGTCATTCAGTCACATGCTTAACTATAAACAGATGTTGAAATCAAACTCAGTTGTCATTGGGAACTTAACAAAGGGGGGAGTAAATAGATCATTATTAAACTTCATGGTCACAATAGAAAACTGGTTCAGTATAAGCAAGCCAGACAATACCGTAGTATTCTATACCCTCTCTACAGACAGAGCTAGTAGCCCAAAGTTTCTCATATCTATTATTATCATTCCAGCAATGTACACAGCATGGTGGTGTATGTGAGACCAATATAGATGGATATTATATAGAGTCTATTCTTCTGATAGCTGTAGGATTCCTGTGGTACATATGGAGATACAGAAAAGTTAAACAGCTCGACAGACTTGATGTTTCTGCTTGGAAATGCTCCTGATCTAACTCTCAAGCTTAGCACTAACAAACATTCCTGTGTTTTGATATTATTTGATGCAATCAGAATTTAGTATACACTGTATGTATTCAAAAAATTGTTTTCTTGTTTATTCTTCATCAGCTCAAATTGTGTACATACAGATATTTCTATTAATATCACTGTTAATTGGAATGAATTTTTGATAGATAAATCTGAATCTCTCGATTAACACTGGGTGTTACAGAGTCAGAGGCAGTTCAAAAGAAATATTTATATGGACTTTTACTTTGTCTTAAAATATATCACTCCAGAACTATTTTGGTTTTTGTTGTGTTTGTTGATATTTTTTAGGTAGGGTACAAAAAAGTGATTTTGTTTCTTTTGTTTTATATTTTTAAATGTCAAAGGAAAGTTATGGATAAATAATGTAATGCTACTTTGATTAAACCTTGTTATGAAAATATGAGGACTGATCATTACATTACAAGCAGACAATTTGAATTTATTCTGCTAGAGGAAAATGGATTGTGTTTGATAGCATGGTGATATAATCACCATATACATATTGGTATATCCAAATACAACTTGAATATTGGTTTTTTTGTCAAAATGTGTCTTCCACATTCATTCACTTTACTGTCATTTCATTCCAGGTTTCTCGACTTACAGCCTGGTTATGATTTTATAGGAGATAATCATGCCAATGTCTCCTCCACTTCGAGTAGATATAATACTGCTGGTAGAAGAGGGGGCAGCATAAAGAATTCACTTTAATTAGAAATGCTTTACTGACTTCTATACTGCTATACTGATAGTGAAAACAATAGGTCATCTACTAGTCAGGGGCAAACATAATACTAAGTTTGAACTAAACTTTGTTGGACATAATCATTAGAAGGTTTTGCCCTTAAATTTGTTACATGTACTTAGAAACACTAGGACTTTGATAAAATTGCAACAGGAGAGGTGAAAAATGCGATGGACCAGATCAGGATTTGAACCCAGCCTGTATATTTCAAAATATTGCCATGTGTTTGTAATATATTCTTTCACTCAACAACAAATTGGATGTACATATATGTCATGCACGAAGCGTGTTGGACTGATTGTCTTGCCACCCAAAATGGTAGATTAACAAGTGAAATTTTTGATGATCTCAATTTCAGGCCAAAATTGGCTATTAACAACAATTTTTGGGAATGTTTTTAGTAGAATTAGTGAATGAATATGCTAGGAACATGTGGTTAGTAATGTTTTGAGATGGCAGCTTAAAAATACAAAGAAATTAATCAAGAAGCAGAGAATTTTTTTGTGTGCAATATAATACACTTTTTTTTCAATGGGTGGCACTATAGCTCTCTGGTTGCCCATCCCAATTTTTTTTTTCAGACCAGGGAGCTACAGATCTGCAGCTACTTATTTGTACCATGAGCTGGTCTGATGAGAAGACTATGGTTGGGGTGGGTCAAAGGTTGTAGCTTCTCTTGCAAAGATAAAAACATGGCTTCAATCACGAAGTTGACAACAGTTTGGATGGGATGTTCATAGCTTCTCCAGGCCAGACGGAGAGCAGTGGCGGATCCAGGAATTTCATAGCGGGGGCGCAGTAGAAGGCAGGGGGTCTGGGGGCTGCATTGAAGCCCCCAGTGGGTCCAGGGTAAAGCCCTGGTGGGGTCCGAATTCTAACAAATAAGAGGTGTTTTTTCCTTGATTTTAGGATAATACAAACAAAATTTAAAAAAAAAAAAAATTCAAACGGGGGGAGGGGGGGCACACCCGGCGCTGGATCCACCTTTGGAGAGCTTAGTTGTCTGTAATTGCTATTGGAGTCACAGAACATGGTTTCTATTGCAGCAAAGAGAATTTTAGTTTCAGTGCAGTAACTTCAAGGATTCTATAAAATAGTCTTACTCTGATGACAGAGCTTAGGAGGAATTGTTTTGGTATCAAGGAGTCTAAATAATGTGTCTTCTGTTGCTAGAACAGCTTTGGTTTTTAGGCAATAAAATTTGCACTTGAGACCAAACACAATATTTTAGTCTGAAAAAAATGATAGTGACAGAGAACACATGATCAGTTAATAAACATTTTTATGACCACTATCTTAATTTTTTCGTAATGTTAAAGAATGAAAGGTATCAATTTGTGAACTCTCCAGGTACACACCTATAGTCATCATATACTAACATTATATGTAAATGAATGAAAGACTTTACATGCATTTGCATTGTCTTATATTCACTTAAAAGTTAAAACACATTTGGCTAATTTCTGTTTTTATTAATATTTTTTTTTAAACATAAAAAATGAACACTTTAGGGTAAGATTGGCTGAAGTGGAGATGTTAATCACCAGTTCACATCATCATCTGTGGAGGAAAGGCAAGTAGCAAGGTGGCTGTCTATGTCTAGCATAGTGAAACTGTAAAAACAAATTAAAAAGAGTGCAATTAAAAATTATTTAGCTCGCAAAAAATGAATGTTATTAAAGAGGTAAAAATGAATCTTGTACATGATGCATAGGTTTACTTCATCATTTAAATAATACATCCTTAGTTATTTGTACACGTAATACATGTACTACTCATGAATAGGGATTTTTTTCATTTTGTCTAATAATTCAATTTTGGTCAAAAAATAGAATCCAACATTAACCAATCCTTATCAGTGGTATTGCTCTTCAAACAGAAACTGCAAAAATGCCCAGCAGACACTGGAAACAAATCGCAAACAAGAGGCCCTGGGGCCACATCGCTCACCTGAGCACTGTGGCTAGGAAAAGAGGAAAAATCTGTTTAGTATTGAAAAGCTTAAATGCATAAGTGGTCCCAACCTTCCCCTAAAAGGGAGTGGGGGGTATGATTTGAACAAAATTAAATCTACACTAACTAAGTATGCTTACATGATTTTTTGACTAACTGACTTTTTTCTCTACAAGTTTGAACTTTCACTGTGGCCCCACCCTACCCCTGGAGGTCATGATATGAACAAACTTGAATCTAAACCACCTGAGGATGCTTCCATTTAAATATGACCAATCATAGCTTTGCTGTTCTTGAGAAGAAGATTTTTGAAGATTTTTCCTATATATTGCTACGTAATTCTTTGATCGTCCATTGTGGCCCCACCCTACCCCCGGGGGTCATGATTTGAACAAATTTGAATCTACACCACCTGAGGATGCTTCCAAATAAATATGACCAATTATAAGTTTGCTGTTCTCGAGAAGAAGATTTTTGAGGATTTTTCCGATATACTCCTATGTTAAACTTTGATCGTCCATTGTGGCCCCAACCAACCCCCGGGGATCATGATTTGAACAAATTTGAATCTACACCACCTGCAGATGCTTCCATATAAATATTACCAATCATAGCTTTGCTGTTCTTGAGAAGAAGATTTTTGAAGATTTTTCAGATATACTCCTATGTTAATTAAAACTTTAATCTTCCATTGTGACCCCACCCTACCCCCAGGGGTCATGATTTAAACAAACTTGAACATACATCACCTGAAGATGCTTCCATATAAATATGACCAATCATAGCTTTGCTGTTCTTAGGAAGAAGATTTTTGAAGATTTTTTCTATATACTCCTATGTTAATTAAAACTTTAATCTTCCATTGTGGCCCCACCCTACCCCCAGGGGTCATGATTTGAACAAACTTGAACCTACATCACCTGAGGATGCTTCCATATAAATATGACCAAACATAGCTTTGCTGTTCTTGAGAAGAAGATTTTTGAAGATTTTTCCTATATACACCTATGTTAAACTTTGATCGTCCATTGTGACCCCACCCTACCCCTGGGGGTCATGATTTGAACAAACTTGAATCTACACCACCTGAGGATGCTTCCATATAAATATGACCAATCATAGCTTTGCTGTTCTTGAGAAGATGATTTTTAAAGATTTTTCCTATATATCCTTATGTAAAACTTTGATCGTCCTTTGTGGCCCCACCCTACCCCCGGGGGTCATGATTTGAACAAATTTGAGTCTACACTACCAAACAATAATTCCACATGAGTTTCATCTTTCCTGGCCCATTGGTTCTTCAGAAGATTTTTCAATAATGCCATTAATTTTTGGCTATTTCGTAATTATCTCCCCTTGGAGGGGGGCGTGGCCCTTCATTTGAACAAACTTGAATCCCTTTCACCCAAGGATACTTTGTGCCAAGTTTGATTGAAATTGGCCCAGTAGTTCTGGAGAAGAAGATGAAAATGTGAAAAGTTTATGACAACGCCAACGACGACGACAACAACGACAGACAAGGGACAAATTTTGATCAGAAAAGCTCACTTGAGCCTTCGGCTCAGGTGAGCTAAAAACTAATCCTCTGAAATTATCCATTGTACATGTAATATGGCAGTAAAATTGCATGATTTTTCAAGATGTTGGCATCATATGGTTAATAAGGAGTAAAGAGTTAATAACCCTTATGCATATACAGAGTGTAAGCATAATGTGTTAAATCTTTTCTTTATTCTGGTTATAAAAGATAAAATGAAGATCAATTTTTTTTCTATGTTCCATCCACTTAGGATCAATAGAATGTAATGCAAACCATTTTAATACCCAGTAGTTCTGAGTGTGCCCTGATAACTATTTTACAGTCAAACCTCGTTATCATGAACTTAATGGGACCAAGAAAAACTAGAGGTACTGTGAGCATTGAGCTCACAAAATGATACCCCTGCCTCCCATATGATTAAAATGGCAAAGTCCATGTTTTGCTATATGGAAGACCTGAAATAAGTGTCCAATCAAAAAAGTACAAGAGGCCCATGGGCCACATCGCTTACCTGAGCACATTGGCAAGGAAAAGCACAAATCACTTCAGTATTGAAAAGTTTAAAAGGGGGGGGGGGGGGGGCTTGGATTTTGAACTACCTGAGGATGCTTCCATATCAAAATAACAAATGGCTTTGCTGTTCTTGAGCAGAAGATTTTTAAAGATTTTTTTCCTATATATTCCCTTGTTAAAAATTTGATCCCCAATTGTGGACCCTCCCTACCCCCCCCCCCCCATCATTTGAACAAACTTGAATCTACACTACCTGAGGATGCTTCCATATCAATATGACTAAACATGGCTTTTCTGTTGTTGAGAAGATTTTTTCCTATATATTCCTATGAAAAAATTTGATCCCACATTGTGGCCCCACCCTACCCCTGGGGGGTTATGATTTGAACAAACTTGAATCTACATTACCTGAAGATGCTTCCATATCAATATGACAAAACATGGCTTCGCTGTTCCTGAGAAGAAGATTTTTCAAGTTTTTTCCTATATATTCCTATGTAAAACGTTGATCCCCCATTGTGGCCCCACCCTAACCCTTGGGGTCATGATTCGAACAAAGTTAAATCTACACTATCTGTGAATGCTTCCATATCAATATGACTTAACAAGGCTTTGCTGTTCTTGAGAAGAAGATTTTTCAAGTTTTTTTTTCTGTATATTCCTATGTAAAACTTTGATCACCCATTGTGGCCCCACCCTACCCCTGGGGGTCATGATTTGAACAAACCTGAATCTGCAATACCTGAGGATGATTTCATATCAATATGACTAATTGTGGCTTTGTTGTTCTTGAGAAGAAGATTTTTCAAGATTTTTTTCTATATATTCCTATGTAAAACTTTGATTCCCCATTGTGGCCCCACCCTACCCCTGGGGGTCATGATTTGAACAAATTTGAATCTGCACTACCTGAGGATGATTCCATATCAATATGACTAATTGTGGCTTTGTTGTTCTTGAGAAGAAGATTTTTCAAGATTTTTTTTCTATATATTTCTATGTAAAACTTTGATCCCCCATTGTGGCCCCACCCTACCGCAGGGGGTCATGATTTGAACAAACTTGAATCTACACTATGTAATGAAGGTCTCATATAAGTTTCAACTTTTACAGCCCATTTGTTCTTGAAAAGAAGATTTTTAAAAGATACCACCAAATTTTCACTAATTCTTAATTATCTCCCCTTGAAAGAGGGGATGGCCCTTCATTTGAACAATTTGAATCCCCTTTACCCAAGGATGCTTTGTGGCAAGTTTGGTTGAAATTGGCCCAGTGGTTCTGGAGAAGAAGTCGAAAAAATGTGAAAAGTTTACAGACGGATGGACAGACAGACGGACAGACGGACAGCGGACAAAATGTGATCAGAAAAGCTCACTTGAGCCTTCAGGTCAGGTGAGCTAAAAATAGGTGCACAATGGCACTTTGTAATGAAGATTCTGTGAAAGTATCATTAAATTTCATTCAGTGGTATAGGAGGAGTTGTGGATAAGAGATGGGTACCCCTCAATATTACAAAGAATGGTTGTCTTTGTTTTCCCACTTGAAACCAAAAATATGTGTCCAATCAAAAAGTAAAATAAGAGGTCACGATGGCACTATGTAACAAAGATTCTGTGAAAGTATCATTAAATTTTTTTCAGTGTTATAAGAGGAGTTGCAGATAAGAGATGGGTACTCCAAAGGATAACGGACAAACAGATGTACACAGACAGATGGACAGACGCTCCGCTCATAATTTGAATTGTTTCAAGACTTTTGAAAATGATCTTTTTCATCTTCTCATTTCATTATTGTATTTATGGAACAAATTACTGATAAACAAATGAACTCCCATCACTATACACCCCCCCACTTTTTAAGCGGGGGGATTTATAAATTTGAGATATTGAGGGTAAAATATATAAAGAAAAAAAATAATTGGGACTTCCAAATCCCTTCAACATATCCATGGTATTTGAGATATCGATGTTCAAGATACTGAAGTTCAATTGTATTTATAAGTTAGAACTGCTGCCTGTAGCTATACCTTGGATCAAAAGCTTTGCCACACATGGGACATTGTGAAACAGTGCTTGCACTTTGTGATGGTTCACGCTGTGTTTCCTGTATAGGTGATCTCACTTTATCACCCTGCACTTCTGAAGTTTCTGGTGCACAGCTTTTCCTTTCACTTTTTGTAATGACTGTCAAGCACTAAAATAAAAGATTGTAAAACAAATCTATGCATTTATATAAGATTCCGTGTTCACTCTTAAGAATGATGAGCTACAAAGAAAGGTGGCTAGTTTTGTACACTGAAAAGGATAAAACATGGAGGTGAACACTACTACATGTATATATCTACAGGAAACAAAGCATTCATAAGAATCTGACTGATTTCAGGTGAAAAAGTCACTCAAGCTGTAGATTTGACAATGTTGCAGAAACTGCAAATGGCAGATGGCACAAATTTACTTATTCTGATTTGAAACAAACTGCACAAAATTACTAATTCCATTTCAAAATTCATTTCATATGTAACAGTAAAGGAGAAAATGTATGGCTGGACTGGAAATCAAACCCGTGACCCTTGCATCACAAGAAAAGTGCTTTACCTACTGAGCTACGTAGGCTGATATCCACTGCCCAAACCACTACATTCCTCCCTCCTTAAATTGTCTTCTTTCTCAAAGACAAACCCAAGTTCTTACTGCTCCCATCAGGTCTTTCACCTTCAAGTCCAGGGGAGGTCATGGCACCAAATGTAACCGTAAGAGAGAAAAATGTGACAAACCAGACCAGAATTTGAACCCAGGTCCCCTGAATCTCCAGTCAGGTCGCCACCTGCTATCAAACCTGTCTGACCGCCACAATTAATTTGTGGTGCCATGCCCTGGAAGTGACAGGTGAAAAACCTGCCAGTGAAAAGCCTGGGTTGGTGTCTTTGGGGGGCAAAGACCTTTAAGGAGGGAGGATGGGTGGCCAGATAGCTCACTTGGTAGAGCACCTGACTCAAGATTTAGGGGGCCCGGGTTCAAATCCTGGTCTGGTCCTCTTGATAGAATACTTCTTGATATAAGACAAGAAATAATATCCAAAGCATGTGACAAAAAAGCAGCTCCGTAAATTGAAGATTTTTACAATGCTTGGATCTGTAGCTCTCTGGTTTGTCTATCCAAATTAGCTCAATCAGAGAGCTACAATTTTGCAGCTACCCTGGTACTTACTACTTACTGATCTAATATAAAAGAAGACTTCCTTTAGTATGAACCATAATGTCCTCTGGCATTCAGAATGTTATTTAATTACACTACCTGTCACTCACATTTTCCAGGATATCACAAGAAGGTGGCTTCCGTTTTCTGCACAAAGGGCACATAGGTGGGAATGGTGACATTTCTTCTATGGGCTTTTTTTGAATCACATTGTCTTCCACCTGTAATTTTTCTTTTTACTTCAGTAAAAGAAATCTCTAGAAGTATTTACTTTAAATTTTAAAAAGACCACTTGTCACAGAAATCATACTGACTTTAAAAAGAGCATTTTCCATACAGATATAGTATATAAATAAAGTAAAAACAAACCCTCTTATTAGGTATGAATGGAGGGAAAGGTGTGAGCTTGGTTTGCATTGGTTGCTGGTTTGTTTCTGTTGGAACATTTTCTTGTGATCTTCAAAACAAATCAGTGAGTGTTTTTGAGGATTTTTATCTACCAATTATGATGGTTAGTGCCTATGAATGAAACAAACAAAGGTCTGTGAAAAAGAAAATTGACTAATGACAGAAAGCAAGGTACCTTTTTTAACTTATACCTTGGACTAATAAATTATTTTTTATTCTAGATAATCTGGGATTTTCAAACATTACAAAATATAAAGGCTAAATTCTTCAGCTTTTAGTTTTACCCAGTATAAAACAAAGAATCATTGACCAGTGCACTCAGGAGCAAACATCAAAAATCTTTGGTTCAGAAAAACTTGAATTTTATTTAAAAAATTATACACAAGAAAAAGAAGTTCATATGTTGATTTACTCAGAAAAAGATCTGAGAGATCCTCTTTTAAGAGAATTAGATTAAGTGCACATAAACTTGCGATAGAAAGTGGACTGTGGTAGATATATTACATGTACCACATCAAGAAACAAAAGATTTTGTAATGCTTGCAATACTGGTGTGATTGAGGATGAAATTCATTTTCTTTTTCAATGTTAATCTTATTCTAAGCTAAGAAACACATAACTTAGAAATATTTATAATATAATAAAGAAAAATATTAATCTGGACAATATTAATGAAAGATACATGTTACAAGTATATATATGTAAACAGTGATAAACATACATGACAAAGTCTTAAAATTTATTAGAGACTGTTTTGAACATAGAACTCAATTACTTAATACTACATAAATATTATGTAAACATACTTATTGATGTTCAATGGACCTTTAAAAATTGTGTTTGTGCCAATAAATATTTGTATTTGTATTTATCTTATACCTGTCATTGGCATTGTCATGGGTATCATTAGTTCTTTTGTTAAAAGATAAATCCTTTGATTTCAGAGCAGACTGAACAAATGACTTTTCCTCATTTGTAGGACCAAGTTTTCGCTTCAGACTTAGTCGCTTCATGCTACTTTCACTTTCACTCAAAGTATAAATATTTGAAAATAATTCTCAAAAACATGATTTTTGATTCCAAATATATGATAGGTAAAGAGCACTTTAAAACTATTATTCCAATACTAATGAGTAATCAATGATGCTTTGTCGTTTGAAATGAAATAAAGCAAAATTTTCCTCGAGTTCAGAGTTGCACATGAAATGGTAACCGGAAGTTGACGTCTGGCAATCGTTCAAGTTTGGGCAGGCGAGAAGGTGCGCAGAAGTAGCGAACTCCGGAATGGATCTCTTAGCTAATTATGATGACGATGGAGATAAATCACAAAGCTCTAGCAGTAATAAACAAGATCCGGTATATTTTATGAATATATATTTTAAAGAATATATCTTGTTTTCTTAGTTTATAAATCAACGAAACGAAAACGTCCTTCTTATTTTTCAAAATGGCGGCCTTCCACCATTATCAATAATTTGAAAACGGAAGTTAATTTTGTATCATGAAGAATTTTGTACAAGCTAATAACTTTACTATGACAACCGTTTTGTGATGTTTTTACCTTTGTTTGATGTATAAATTGCTGTATTCTGCGTAGAGAAGTTAGAGAACATTTTCCCAATCCTATTAAACGATGTTCAAAGATCAATGAAATAATTTATCTTTTAATGTAAGGTTGAAGTGTCATCCAGTCTGCAGGCTGAATGGGAATCTTTTGAGAAAATGATCTCAGGTTTAAATGAAGACACAGAAAAGCCAACATCTGTAAATGAATTCCTACAGGCCGGAATAGTGGCATATCCAGGCTCATTCAAAAACAACACAGAAAATGAAAAGGATGGTAAAGGATCCTCAAGTTCTGAGGAAGAAGGTAAAAGTTCAATTTAGTATCAAAATGAATTTTATATATATTTAAAATTTTTATATCATTTTGTTAAGAGATAGTTAACATTTTCAAACATTATTCACATGATATGTCTTGTTTGATAGCTTATATCAAATCATACTGATACTTGGAAGACACATTTTGATAAAAGAAAAACAGGTTAGTTACCATGAGTAAAACTTCAGTATTGGTCGTTTATCGTTAGTAATTCTTTCATTTTGGTATTATGATGATACTTACAGTCTTAGTTACATGTTTTTAATGTCTAGTAGTCTTCATTATAACACTTCACTTTTTATAATTATTAAAATTTGTTCCTTAACTATGTATTTCATTCTTTACAGCAGAAGGTCCCAAAAAGTCCAGATCTTTTGCTGAAGATGTAATGAAGCTGTTCAGATCGGAATTTGTTGAAGAGGTAAACCAAAAAAAATGGAAGAAAGATATTTTAAAAAAGATAAATAACAAAAAGCAAAATTAAAATGAAATCACAATTTTTTTCATGTCGCATTGAACCCCATAGATTATATCAATTACTGCTTTGAACCTAAAGAGACATGCCTAGTATTAGTTTTAAACCAAAATGAACAGTAAAACAATTCGTTCATTGGATTCTTAGAAGAGGTATCGTTGTCCTTAGAGGGGAAAAAAATCTTCAGTTCACTGAATTTATATTTTCTCCACATTTGACAGGGTTTTCCAGTCCTTTAGAATTATTCCCATCCTGAAAATATGTATAAGGTGTTTCGGGTCCTTTCATAACATTAAATATGAAAAAAAGGTTTAAGGTTATTTTCTTCAATAATCTGACCTGCTATCTACATATCAATTAGGTTTACCTTACCATGTGATTGCTGCAAAGAAACACTGATTCAACATATAATGACGACAACAATCTCTCAAATTGTTGTTGTTTCCGTGATGGCGTATGGGTAAGTAGATGGAAGAGGAGGTAACCAAGATTACAGTCTCATGAAGACAAAAGTGAGATTCCTCAGCTGGGAAAGACATTGCAAACATTTCCTGTTTCTCTTGTCATATGATCCGTATGATAACATGTTTTATTCATATATTGACCTCAGACATGACTTCACTTTTTTGAAACACATCTTTATCACAAACATATCCTGTTTCTCTTACCAGATGATCCATATGTTAACACATTTTATTCATATATTGACCTCAGACATAAGACTTCACTATTTAAACACATCTTTATTCGTTTAAGGGTCAAATAAAATCGGTCCTTTACCTTGAAGTAAAAAAATTCTTGCATTTTTGTTGACATAATTCATTTAATTTGTATTTCCTGTGTCAATTTTCAAAAGCCTATAAAGTGCTCCATAACTTATTAATTTATTTACCAGTATCCTCACTAGACCTAACTGTCATTTTATTTTTAATTTACTCAGTAGGATGACAATGTATTTATGAAAAGGTTTCAGTTGCTATTTGTGTTGTTGTTTTCCTTTATTGATCAACATTGTGCATCGGTTTTTAAGATACTTTTCTTAGCTGTATTATCAGGATGTTTTCAGCTGATAAAGAGTAATATACCAGGAATTAGTAGATCATTTTGTCTTTGGCAGGAACTAGATATGCCTCCCAGAGCCAGGTCCTCATCACACTCCTCTGGATCCACCCACAGCAGTAGATCTGCCTCAGCCTCTCCATCTCCTGATAGAGAGGAGGAAAAAGAAGAAGAGCAGGAGGAGGAACCAGATAAAGAATCCAGTAAAGAGGTTAAAGAAGACAGGAGGCAGTCCACAGAGGGTCACTCCAATAGGAAGCGGTCTAGATCAAGGTCAAGGTCACGTAACAGAAGGACTTCACACCCAAGAAAAAAGTCTCGATCCAGTCGCTCTAGATCGAGATCAAGAAGGAGGGTATGTGAAATATGCCCACAACTATTTGTCTTGGATACTTTTTTAAAACTTTCATTTGCATAATTTTCATTGTGTAATGGTTATTTACCAATAGAATCATAAAAGAAGATGCAAAATCATGAGTCTGCTTATGAGTAGCTAACTTACATGTGCAGTATTTGTTATATATCTGACAAGATGCAATTCAATAAAACCTATTAATAGATGAAAAGAAATAATCCTGTGTATTAAAGTTATTGTCAGCTTATCAATAGAATCATAAAACAAGTGGCAATATCAGAGTCTAATGAATAAACATAGCTCGCTTGTGTAGTATTTGTTAGTATTCATTTTGTTTTGTGTAAAAACATTTATTGCATATATTTCTTAAATGCTTTAAAGTACCCAGAATTCTTAGACATTCTGTATTAGTTTAAAATTCATAAGAAAAATTTGTTTTCATGGAGTTTATTAAGAAATGATGCATTGCAGAGTCGAGACAGGAAAGGCAGCTCATCACGCAGGAGACACAGGCGCAGCAGATCTCGAGACCGAAAACATAGAAGGCATTCCTCTAGAGACAGACACAGACACAAGAAAGATAGGCGAAGAAGTCGAAGCAGGGACAGACATCGTAAAAGGAGTCACAGGAGTAGGTCTAGACACCGCAGCAGGTCACCACCACACAAACACAGGTTTGTTTTTACCTGTACAGCTATATAGATGTATACTATTCTGGTTAGGCTAATATTCTCTCCCTTGCCCTTAGTATGTGATCAGGGAAGTGGGAGGGGGTGACAATATGTATGTACATGTAAAGGAGTGACAATGCTAGAGTGCAGTGGCAACAAAGGGAGAACTTCATGAAAAGAATGCCATGGAGTGAGAAAGATAAACCATTGAAAGCAAGAGACACAGAAGGCTGTAATGACAATAAGAAAAACGAAGCCAGGGAGTAAAAAAGAAAGGGCAGAAGTAAAAAAAAAAAAAAACAGGGGCGGGGAAAATAGATTCGCATAATTAGCATAATTCTTGCATTACTCTTGAATACTTTCTCACTTTCTTGCATATATTGCAATTAAGCAAGGTCCTGTCAGTATGATATTCTTAAGATGCTGATTGATGTAGTTATATATGTTTACTGGTGTCAAATTTTTTTATTTTAACAAATTAGTAAAATTATATTAGGCATGTTTAACTTTATTAACCATTTCCTTATAAGTAACAATCTGTAATATATCTGTTAGCAAACTGTTTTGTCATCTGTTGTATTGTTTAGGTCTGGAAAGAGCCGTAGTCGCAGTAGAGATAGGGGTCATCATCCTGCTCCATCCTCCTCCAAACCTGAGGGGGAGAAGCATTTGACTTTCAAGGAGAAGATGAGGCAGCAGTTGCTGAAAGCCAGCAAATACTTACAGGCAGGGGAAGGAGGGCTAGAAGTGGATGGTAAGTACATTTGTTAAGTGATTCCTATTTGAAACTTCCTAAATTATGGCCCCCAAATTTTTGCATGTTTTGCACCCAAAATAATTTTTATGAATTGCTGTGTACTCGGTGAGAACAAAAAGTTTAGAAAATAAAAGTCCAGAAAATTACTTTTAGAGAGATATCTTCAGAGAAACTTTTCATGAAATAATAGTTTTAATAAAATTCAAATTTAGGAACTCCAAAGGAAAAACCAAGCAATCTTCCATTAAGTGATGGACATAAACGATTTTTTGAGGCTTTGGCTTCATCCACACAGTCCAGTGTGACTCCACAGATGGCCCTCTTACACACAATGGCAGCAATGCACCAGAAGGTCAGTATTTGAAAAAACAACTAATCAACATTGGAACATTGAAAATGGAAATCTTTACAAGTATGACTTTTAAAATATTTGACATTTTGATTCTGTAGGCTCAAGAAATGACAGGTGTTGCTGTTCCTAAATATTATAACCCTGCTGCTGTGAATCCTCTGAAGTATGCTGAGCAAGTCCAGAAAAGGAAGTTATTGTGGTCAAAAGCAAAGGAACACAAAGAGGTATGTGTGCTTTATATACTGTATTCCTGTTCACAAGAGCTTTATATAGACGTAATTAGGCGAGACCATCTGCTTGCAGAAATTTCATTCTTGAGTATAATCTTATCATTTAAGATTATTATTTTATATAGAGCAGTAACCAAAATTTATTAAAATTTTGTTTTGCTTATAAATGCCAAACAACAATCTTAGGAAAATAGTTGTTGCGAAAATTTATTGATCTACAGTACATAAATTAAACTGATCTGTTCATATCTTCATGTTAAAAAAAAAAGCAGTAGATTCACTTTTACCCTGTGAATAGATTCTCCAAAGAACAATTTCATGTAAATAAGAAGGAAGATGTTTTACTGCCATTGATGCTAAATGCAGTATTATTTAACAAAATGTCAAAGCTTACAGATATTTTTTTTAATTCTTTATCAGGATAAGGAAAAGGAATGGCAACATACGGCCTTTAATCAGGATGAAAATGGAAAGATAGCTACAAAATTTAAAAAGTTGATGGGCTTGAAAGAGGGAGCAGATGATGGTACTGGTAGTGCCCCAGAATTGACAGAGGAACAGAAGAAAAAACGAGAGGAGCTTTTCTCGAGACTAGATAAAGACTATGAGTTTGCTCGCATGACAACTCACACACAGAGGGGCGTAGGTTTGGGGTTCTCCTCACAGGGAATCCAACCTCCGTAATAATGTTCAATATCTGTACATATGTCTCGACATTCTTGTGACAATCATGAATCTGGATCTTGATCCAAGAAATGATTGTCCTTAATCCTGAATTTTGATATGTGAATTTAATCTATCCATGAAGTGAACCAGCTACTTGCTTACTGTGAAACCCTGAGCAGAGCAAAAAGATTTTGAAATGATCTGTGATAATCCTGTGTTTTGGACCCAGAGTATTTCTGGGAAAGGAATAGTTGTTGTTTGATATGAACAACAGTTAGTGGACTGGGTATTTGTATTTGTTTCATTTAGAAACAAACAAGTATTGTTTTTTATTAAAAAAAATTTACTTGCAGATTGATTTGTGTTCACTTGAATTTTTATAATTTTCCATCTCTGAAAAGTTCAACTTATAAAGTTCAAAATACCTTTATTCACACATATAAAATGTTGCATTAATTCTTAATATTTTCCAAAACAATGCATTTTATAAGTAAAATGGAAACGAATTTAGCAAAGATTGCGGGGCAAAATAAACTTTTTGACAACTCTTTAAGAGTTACCTCTCTTATCAGAGGAAGAGTATTCATAGACCTGCAATTGCTTTAGGTCTTAGACTGACTTGCCTGTCTGATATGCGCGATATACACGATAGAGACAGGCAATACTAGTCTATTTAGGTCTATGGAGCTATATATAAGGACACCCAGGGAACTGGTTTTAAGGACATATGATATGTAGTTTTGAACTAGTTTTGAACTAAATATTTATTATTCTCTGTATAATTTAAGATTCCAATAATTGAAAGACCTTTGCGACTTTTATGATGCTTAAGGTCAGACGACACGTTCCTCGAATACCTGTTTTGTATCTCATCATAATATATAGAAAAAAATATTCATAATTATCATTATCTTGTGATTTTTAAACTGTTTTTAAAATGTCTTAAAAAATAAAGACACCAAAAATTGTGATAATGAAAATTCAGGAGATCTCCAATAGGATTATATAGAAAACAACATCATCTGGTATCTTGCACATAGGCTTGGTAAGGTACCTCAATTTCTTGTGAGGAAACTTGTTAAAGTAGCTATGCTTCAGTGAAAAATTCTTAGGAAAAATTATACATCATTGAGGAATGTGTTGTCTGACCTTAATGATGCCCTATACTCCTCTACTAAGTACTGAGGAAATACCATATGAAATATATTCTGTTATATTTTTCTTGAAATAACCCAGTTTTTCTTCATTTGATATCTGTTCAAAACCCCGGGTAACGTATGATTTTTTGTCTAAAACTTTTTAAATTAAGAATGTCTAGGAAAAAATTATCAGTAGGTAATGTGCGCTGTAAGGTACGTGCATGTAAGTTGCGTATGACCCTAAGGGTTCCAAAGGCTAGTGGTTTTGTGCAAGGAGACCCATGGCTAATGAAAAATTAGAAGTTGCATTTATCCATGCAATGCATAAAAATAAGTGTCTAAAGATACAGGTAGCTGAAGTGTTTGGTCAAATGTCAGTTCACCGTTTAGTTTACTGCATGATTTTGTTTTGTAGCTTCTTGATAAAGCTAGAGCAATTACAAAGTGTCCAAAAAACAAACAAACCACAGAGTTTTATTTTTTAAATAAATGTAATATTTTCTTTTGTTCACTGTAAAGGGCAAAATTTACCCATTTATATGGTTTTACTGCAAAATATTCTTGGGCAAAGGTATTCAGCGTCATATTGATCAACCACCTCTCAAGGGGAGGTAATTAAGAAATAGTATACATGGGCTATAATGGGGCATATTGTATTATCTTAAAAAACAACACCGGAATATATTTCATATATTTTATCTAATAAGCACAAAAATGTACAGGCTGATTAGATTGGATGTCATTAAGCAAGTGTCTTTGTACCAAAATCATTTTATATAAACAGGAAATATGGGTGACTCACTTTCAGATTAATATCAGTAGGTTACTGAAGAGAGCTAAATTTGCTTAAAGTCAAATCAATTATAAACAATTCTAGTAAATTCTAACACGTAACAAGATGCATATGTGTAGAGATCACACTGGCGGATTTATAAGGGCAGCCCCCCCCCCCCTTTTTGTGTCCAAATATATACATAAGATTGGAAAATTGCATCCAAATATACACTACTTTCCAATTAATCTCAGGCCCGTAGCAACGGTTTCAAAAGTGGGGGGGGGGGGGGCAACTTCCCCCCAAAAAATCTGACAAGAAAAAAAAACCTAAACTGAGCAAGAGTTGGGGGGACTTCCCAACATAATCTGACAAGGGAAAAACCTAATTACTGTCCAAATCCTGGAATTTGCCAGTGCTCGACCTTAATTACAGCAACAAAAAGTTGGGGGAACACCAGCATCTAAAGGAAAAATACTATACTCAGGAACAAGCCCCCCTCCCGCGTTCTACGGGCCTTAATCTGTTGTAGACAGGGCATACTCCCGACAATGAAACATCCTTTTCTATAAATGGCAGAAAAAGTACGGAACATTATTAACTCATAACAGATTGTGAGCATCGCAGTTTAGACAGAAGGCGGAGCGTGCGTCGTATTGACACATTTAGCATTTACTAAAATAAATTAACTTTCTTCACACATTTAGCATTTACTAAAATGATTTAACTTTCTTCATAGAATAATTGTACATAGTTTTTTTCCCAATACACATGTATAATTACATGTATATCAATATTCTCCTCATTAGCAATGAGATTGGAAACCAAAGAATATATATTATGACGTCATAATAGTGTTTGGATGAAACAGAAAGAACGTCCAAAATGAATAGAGATATCATAATAGAATTCCCTGACAAATTAGTTTGGAGTACTTTTCAGACAGATTACGTTATACAACATGAAGAACACGTAATAGCCATCAGCGGATCTCTCGTAGAAATGGGCCAATGGAATATTCGACAGGCATTAATGTTAGGTAACTGACTATAATAAAGTGAAAGCTAGCCATCATGTACTATAATAATTCTTTCATATAAGTGAATTTTTACAGCTTTGTACAGAAAAAAAATGCACAATAATTTTATTTTACTCAATATGATTCATTGTGTTTCTTGAACATTAATGACTAAAGGACAGATGATACATATTTTTTTTCCAAAAATCTGATTATATATTTATATAAATAAAATGAATGTTTCATTCATAATTTCTCAATGACGTCCTATAAAGTGATTAAGAATTGTACAAATTTTACAAGGGTGACGGCAAAAAGAAAGAAATTTGAATATCATGGAAAGTCTACAATTTCTTCATATTTAAGAGATTTAATATATACCAAAATAACCAATCCATTCATCCATTTTTTGATTGTGTGTCCTTAAGTCATAACTGATCGACGCACAATACTTAGTCCATCGTATGGAGATATAGAGAGATCAAAGGCAGTTCATGTCCGGGGAGGGGGGGGGGGGGGCTTCAAATGCCTAAATGTGTAAGTTCATGTAGCACATGAGTGTACTAAAACACTCATTTATAGTTCGAGGAAAACGATTCTGTCAATTAGAATAAAGGTGAGAAAACGCAGTTTAAAAGGTTTCTCTAAATGTGAGCAGCGTATACATGGTACTAGTACTAATATCACTGTATGGAAAGTTCTTATCAAAAATCTGCTTGATTTGGATCACTAGCTATACTTTTGATGGGTCATTCGAAATTTCTGTCTGCACATGTAGACAAAAAATGTCATTAAAATACGTTTTCTTACACATATAAAACTGTTTCAACTAATATGAAATTTCTTTTTGCTCTATTTAAAGTTTACCATATTTTTTGTCATTTACTCCTCCTAAACATCGGTGGCACGCGTTTTGCACGCGTCTGATGGTCATTTTTCGATTAATCCCCCACTTAAATGGACCGTGGACATTATTTGAATAAAATATTTATTGTTCAGTTTTATATGAATCTTTATCAAACGTTAGCAATCAAACTTGACCAAAAAAAAAAAAAAGATATGTTTGTGAAACACTGATGCCCCCGTATGGCAACTCATATCAAAGGCTAAACTTACTCAAATACAAATCAAATATGTTAGTACCCAAAGTAAGGTCTAGTCTCGAGGAATATACCTTTGAAATATGAAAACCCTCGCAGCAACCATTGAATAGATATGGAAAAGGATAAAGTTTTTCAAAAGTAAGTCAAACATCAAGTTCAAAGTTAAAGTCTTTCAAAAGTAGGTCAAACTCCAAGGTGAAAGGGTCAAAGTTGTTTGTATCCAAACAAAGGTCTTGTCACAATGATTACATATGTTAAGTATGAAAGCCCTAGCACCAACCGGACAAAAGTTATGGCCAAAGTTAAAGTTTTGCAAAAGTAGGTCAAACTCCAAGGTCAAAGGGTCAAAGTTGTTGGTATTCAGAGGAAGGTCTTGACACAATGAATACATATGTGAAGGAAGCAAGCCCTAGCACCAACTGTTCAAAAGCCAAGGTTAAAGTTTTGCAAAGTAGGTCAAACTCTAAGGTCAAGGTCAAAGGGTCAAAGTTGTTGGTATCCAAAGGAAGACCTTGTCACAAGGATTACATATGTGAAGGATGAAAGCCCTAGTACTCACCGTTCAGAAGTTATGGCCAAGGTTAAAGTTTTTCAAAACAAGGTCAAACTCCAAGGTCAAAGTGTCAAAGTTTTTGGTATCCAAAGAAAGGTCTTATCACAAGGTATACACATGTGAAATATGAAAGTCCTGGCATCAAAGGTTTAAAAGTTATGGCCAAGGTTAACGTTTTTCCAAAAGTAGGTCAAACTCCAAGGTCAAGGCCAAAGGGTCAAAGTTGCTGGTATCTGAAGAAAGGTCTTGTCACAAGGTATACACCTGTGAAGTTTGAAATCCCTAGCACCAACGTTTCAAAAGTTATGGCCAAGTTTAAAGTCTGAAAAAATATTGCAAAAGTGTGTCAAACTCCAAGGTCAAGGTCAAATTTTATGGTATTCAAAGAAAGGTCTTTGCACAAAGAATACACATGTGAAATATGAAAGCCATAGCTTCAACCAATCAAAAGTTACGGGCAAGGTTAAAGTTTTTGCGGACAAACAGACAGCTAGACAGACAGACGGACGGACAGGGCAAAAACTATATGGCCCCGAATCTTCGATTACGGGAGCATAAAAAACCGTGGCAAACATACTAAAGCACTCACTCAAAACAAGAATAGCTCATTTTCTTTAAGAAGCCTAATTTCTAGAAAATAGATGATGTTTCGTTGGTAAATTGGGGAGAAAATTTAAATGCAAACACTCTTACAACAGAGTATCGTTTGAAAATAATCAAGTGCATTTAAAATTTACAATGACTCCATTAATTCAAGACGTTTCCTAATTACTTTGAATTACTTTTTCCCAAATTCTGCTTGCCGAAATTTCTTTTTTACCCACAATGCATCAGGGTTCCCAGTGATCCAGATCAAGTAGATTTTCGTTTAGCACTTTCCATATAGGGAGTATGTGGGCATCGCCTGTGGACATATTAGCACTCTGAAGGTACATTTACGTATGTGTCAGCTACGGTGTGAATTCACCTCATACTAATTTTTGAAATATAATTAACAAAAGTTATCATATTTATCTTGAATTCTAAACTAATTTTGAAAAATAGATTGAAATTTATTTTTATGGAAAAAAAGTGGGCCGCTGAGCGGCCTTAGCGAAACTCCCCTTTTCCGAACTACTGTAGAGTGTAGAGGTTGTTCTCTATTTATAACTTGATTGCTCGCTTTAATACTCCCCCTCAACTGGGAGGGGGGGGTACTGAAGCGAGACATCAACTTCTCAATAGAGAATAGTAAGTGGGTACATGAATCCAGCTGAACAGAGTTTTACATAGTGTTGTTTATTTTTATTTGAAAATGTAAAATAAGTACACGACTATATAGTTGCACTACTTAACACCACACACTTACCAAGGTCACTTTATATTTGCTTTTGTCCTTGAGTTTCACGCCGTTTAATCGCGGTATTGTTTTTGTCCTACTATTTAAAACATGTTGGTCGAGCAAATCTAAGGCATGCATTAGTAAAATAAACATGCAAAGTATGTCTGTCGAGGGTGACGTTGGAATCTGTATTAGCTTTGAGACGCAGTATAAGACAGATGCACACGACAAGTGTCTGGCTGTTTGTGGTTCTTTGGCTGCGATTGGAAACTGGGATGTCAAAAAAGCAGTCATTGCAGGTAATATATGGGAATATATTATATATAATCTATTTATAGTCCTTTTATAATATATACAAACGTAAACGGTTCATAACACTAAATAGTCACTGGATTTGAAACCGTATCTTAATAGTTTAAGAAAAGGGCCAAAAACTAAACTGGAAAAAATTTTATTTCATACGTTGGCATATTGTAGAGGGTCCTGGGAGGGAACTGGGGTTCATTGGACGTTATGTACACGGATGTGATATACATCATATTTAGTGGTGTTATGTAAGCCCATTAACTGCGCTTTTTTGTTAAGATTGTGGTGTGGAAGGTAATGAAAATGACAGAGAGTGGGAGGGGCGTGGGCAGGAAAATATTCATGAATGGACACTCCGACAGGCAAAAAGAAGGATTGGATTAACTAGATCTCAAATTCAAATACAAGATACTTGGTGTCAGTTAATATCGTTAGATGTATAGCGCCTGATACCCTAGCTCCGTCTTCACTTTAGGGAAACTCCACGTTCGTCATAAACAAATGCGATTGTGACGTCATTTTTTCAAATCCTGAAAATCTACAATCATTGAGTTATAACAGTCAAATTAATAATGATTAACATTTATAGGCGTTCAATGTCACAATCATATTAGATCTATTTTACCAATTCTTTCAAAAAGATATGCAAGTTCATTTACAAACACTCTGTCTAATAACAAATCAAATTAAATTGTCCCTTTCTACGTAAAATTTACTGAGCATAATGAAAAAATCATAATTGCATCTCTGCACTTTTGTTCCAGAGAAAAAAAAACCAAATTTCTCAGTTTTTGAATAATAAAGATTCACCGGCAAATCAGTTCAAACAGCTTTCGAATTTAATTTTATTTTACTTTAAAGCATAGTAACGTAAATATTTTTATGAGCTTTATCGTATCTTTTAATGCTATTGTTTAAATTATTCCACTGTTAATTAAAGGCATTTTCTGCTGCTTGAGTGTAGGTCAATTTGATCCATAGGAAACTGTTGTTTTTTAGTCCCCTACCGGTGAAACCGGAGGGGACTATAAGTTTCCTCTGAGTCTGTCCGTCCGTCTGTCTGTCTAGCTGTCTGTCTGTCTGTCTGTCCCACTTGGTTTTCCGCACTTTTTTCTTAAACGCTTGCAGATATTGAGCTGATTTTTGGTATGTGAGTGTATCTTGATGAGTTACAGATCAAGTTTGCATTTCGTTCCGCTTCATTGATTTTTGACGGAATTACGACCTTTTCAATTTTTAAGGGTTTTCCACGATTTTTTACTAAACGCTTGCAGATTTTGAGCTGATTTTTGGTATGTGACTTAACCTTGATTACTTATAGATCAAGTTTGCATTTCATTCCGCTTCAAAGATTTTTAAGAGAATTATGGCATTTTCAATTTTTAACGGGAACCAGATTACACTTGCCGGTAGGGGACTAGTATTGCTAATGCAATACTCTCAGAATGCTTGTTTTCCTCTAAAACAATCGTTCAAGTTACAACAAACAAATGTTGTATTTTAATCAAAATCCCACAATGGTTCTTATGACTAGCAGAAATTTTTTTTTTTTTTTTTTTTTTTTGGAAATGTTATATTCCTTAAAACATGGTACATTATTTAAAGTGTATTGATACTATACTTTGAGAATCAGCGTTCTACGCGTGAGAAAATGGCATTCAGATCAATTTCATAGTTGGCTAAGAAAAACATAAGTGACAAATGTAAGTATTTAGAAAATAAAGTATTTTCATTTGATTCAATTTCAAATCATATGAAAAGTATTCCCGGTACCTATATTCAATTTAATGCTATTTTAAAGAAGAGGCTAAGAACATACAAATTACGATTATCTGAGACTGTAGGCAATCTGCACACATTTCCTTTGTCTGATATGAAAAACAACTCCCATTTTCATAACTGTTTTTCTTGATTTTTCATTAGAAATTAGAGTCTATGATTTTCGTCTTGTTTATACCTACAATTTATGCCCCGATATACCTTTGTTGACCAAGCTATACTTATAAAGCATCATTAAAGAAATATGAAGGCTCCTTTCTTTACTAGATCTTGACCTTAAATCATTTTTACAAGATTAAGAAAAAGGGATAAAGAACTAAAAATGAAAAAAAGTATTTAATAAGTTGGCATATTGTAGAGTGTGTAGGGTTCATTGGACGTAATGTAAATAATTCAATAATAAGTCTTCACGGTACTCGTTTTAAAAGTATATGTTCATCCTTGCTTCCATTTTGAAAGTGTATTTCATAGATTTTTTTTAGGATAATGTTTCGATTTATGCACTCTCTTACTTCGTCACTACCCTAAGTCCGTCATTTCGGAACACTGCGCTGTCTGTAAACGAATGCTAAAAATCTACAAGCAAATGTCGAGACATTAAATAAGTTTTAAGTCCAGTTAATGAATGCGTCAAAAAATAAACATTAATTACACGAAATTCGTTATATCTACCATTTATTTTTGTAAAAGCAGTAAGCACTTTTCATGCACTTTGGACATTTACGACACTTTTACATCTGTCAGCAATTTTAAGGAAGGTCACTGTCAAAGGTTTTATAGGGCATACCATGTTGAATAATGCTAAAAATATTCAGTTTTTTGCGAAAAATTGCTGTAATGCACTACACGTAGGAGATAATTGGTAAACGAGTGCGTTGTTTTGTTTTGAACATATTTTATTGACAATGTGTCAAAGGGATTGGACACAAGTTCTAAAAACTTAGATAGTCCTCTCCCATACATAAAATCTTTACAGCCATAGAACATTTACAAAGATTTACATTTTATAATATTATACATGAACGTAGAAGAACAAAGACAATAGTTATTATTGCTAAAGAATATGAATTGATATAATGATGATTATAATGACATCAATAACCATAATTAAATAGTTTCAAAAGGTAGTAAATACAAGTACATGTAAGTGTTAATTGAAACGACCAGTATCCTGAATAAATTTTTGAACAATACCAAATATTTTTTCATTTTCATGCAAAGATAATGATTCATCTCCCCATAGCAGTTTATGCACATTTAACCTTTTGTTTTCTATCAATAAGGTAGCTTTCCAACCATTCTAACATATTACCTGAGATGCCATACATTTTCAGTTTATAAATCAATCCCCTATGCCAAACTCTATCAAAAGCTTTAGATAAATCACAAAAAACCATACAACAATGTTTCCCTTCATCAATGCTTTTTACAATGGTATGATAAGTCTCTAAAAGTTGGTACACAGTTGAGTGACCAGGCAAAAAACCTGCCTGATATTTGTAGAACAAATTATTTGTATAAAAAAATATGTACATGTTTAAAATAACTCTTTCAAATATTTTACTCACACAACTCAAAAGAGATACAGGTCTAAAATTTGAAGTCACTGATGGGTCATCTTTTTTAAATAAAGGTAGCACATGTGCTAGTTTCCAACTTTCAGGATAAATTTTGAGTCTTAGGGATTTATTAAATAATAAACAAAGTGGCTTAGCTATTGTTTCTTTACAAGATTTTAACATTTTGTGACTAGTACAATCAGGGCCTACGGCTTTATTCAGGGGAAGGATAGAGATAATATCAATAATCTCACTTTCTTGTATATACAAGTCACTAAATCTTTTAACATCTTTGGATTCGAAAGCTGATAACTCATATTCTTCATCTTTTATATCAGAGATCGATGTAAAAAAAATTATTAAGCAATTCAATTTTTTCTCTATCGGAAAATGCATATATAGGATCACCGTTACGATTCATTTCTTGAATAGGGGGTATTTCGCATGTAGTTTTAGCATGAAAGACATCTTTTAATAATTTCCAGTATAATTTATTATTATTTTTATTTGCGTCATTTAGATGTGAATCAATATTGTCATAATAATTCGCTATTGCATATTTCTTCATATTATTTACTTTGTTTCTAATTTTCCGGAATTTTTCTTTATCTGATTCTTTTTTGGTCTTTTGTGCTTTTTTCCTTAACCTATTGCGTAGTCGCATATTTCTTCTTAACAAAGAATCCATCCATGGTTTGTCGTTGGGTCTTATCGTAACAGTTTTTTCAGGTATACGAGTGCGTTATTATTGCAAATAAGCTTTTTTCTGCTGTTTTTTTATTTTATTTAAATACATTTTTAAATGCCATTTTAAAACGTAAAAAAAATGTGTACGTGTTTGTGTTTACTCATTTGAAAAGAAAAAGTACAAGAAACAAAACTGAAAAAAATTTCAGTATCCTGGTATAAAATATAAAACATCCAGGTGACGGATTTTTACATTCATACGATGTAATGTACGAAAACAGTGTTTAAGGCCATAACCAAATTCACGGATACATGTATGTATTTATATTGAAAAAAAAATGAACATCAGAGTTCAGTAGATGTGGATAATATAACATGCCACCATTTATTTTGAAAGGCATATTATGACGAGTAATGTAGCGCATTGTATAATTTTTTAAAGTATGCTTTTTGTGACGTCACAATACCTTGTGATGCAATTCAACGTCACAATCAGTCAGCATAGCTTCACGCTTTGTTTACTTTGAACATCGTAATCAGAAGCCATGGTTTGGTTAGGAATAGCTTGTGATTATATGCTCCCGGATAATAATTTGGCTCTAGCAATAAGTGGGTCTATCAAGGAATTCGGCAACTGGAATATCAAAGATGCCAAAATAGCAGGTAGATATTTAATATATATCAAGGAATCTGTTTGAGATGTAAAACAGTGACCATGATCATGAAAAAGTTGAATTTATTTATTTATCATTACTCACAATACTGTAGGGAGAAAAGGTTTTGGTCAGAAAATTGTCTGGACCAGAAGAGTTGATACTTATTTGAAAGTTTCATATTGTACATTTAAGTTTGTTCAATTCATGACCCCCAGGGGTAAAGTGGGTCCACAATTGGCTATCAAAGTTTTACATACGTATATTATATACGGAAAATCTTTGAAAAAAAAATTTAAAAAGCCCATGATTATT